AACAGACATCAATTAACTTAAGCAAATCACGTTTGAAGGTGTTATATTCTGCATATTTTTAAACGCAAAGAGAGTGAACAGTTGGAATGTTTGGATGGAGTCTGTCACTGTCAGTATATTTAATAATTTTATTAATTTATATACTGTAAATACTAATCTGTTAAATAAGGTAAAAAGATAATTAATCAAAATTCTCTATGCAATTTTGGTTAGAAAACCCCCACAATATTCTAAGCATTTTTTGCAGCTTAAAAATTATAGTATTTATACCAGTTAACCAGTATTAATCAGTATTTAATAATTTATGAATTGCCTGATTCATATACTGTATGACATTTTTAATAATTTAATTATATGATCAGTTTGACATAATTCTGAATGCATTATGCGTGAATCAATTCCTTCTGTTACCATCCTCCCCCCGGGCAACCCCCGGGACAATGCAAAAAAACTAATCCCGGGGGTAGGGAATTGTTTGAATAATTTTGTCCCGGGGGTTACCCCCGGGTAAAAAGCAAAGAACCAAACAAAAAATGCCAGAGGTCAACCTAATAAGTCAATCTCATACTTAGGACTTTGTTTGGTTGCACATCAAAATGGTGGCTATAAACTCTTTTGCTTATAAACTCGATGCATTAGTGTTAATTTGAGCTTGTATTTTGAATGCTTTGTTACACAAGTCTAACCAGGGCCGGAACTACGGGGGGAGGGGTGAAATTTTATCAGTCGCCAGGACTGCCATCTCGGTCGGCAAAAGTATGCAGGGGGGTCAGTCGGTTCAAATGACCTTAAATTAAACCCCCCTGGAAAAAAACTTTTGGGGGGATGACCCTGAGTCAAACTAGTGCATTCATTGTAAACATTATTTAAGTTATCACTGTTAAACTATTTATCATTGCAAAAATGATGGACTGGCTTGCCTTGCTGAATTTCATCATTTTTGCAATGATGTCAATGATAAACAGTTTAATAGTAATAATTTAATGTTTACAATATAAACATTTGAAAATCATTGGAGGTACCTACCTTGAAAACCTGTCAAGCTGCATAGTCCAATGAGATGGATTTGGTCAAAATAAAACACAATTTTCATGTATTAATTAATTAAACAATAATTTGTTATCATCGCTATTACATTATTTTAGTTAAGATAAACCTAAGATGGTAACAGAAGGAATTGATTCATGCATAATGGCTGTACTGTAAAGTGTAAAGGCCCATCTACAGGATAAGAATCGTATATGACTAGTCGTATTGTGTACATGGGCCTGAACACTATTTGTGCAGAAGTACTTAGTAAGTAAGTTGTACAAAAATTGTCAGAAAGGCACTTTCACACTCAATTTATTAGATATTAGAGTCAAGTAGCAGCTCTCGCAAGGTCTTAGCTCATTGGCTAAAATGAATGTTCCGGTTTCGAGGGTTTCAAATTGGTGACTTCCGGTTTAGAAATTTACGTTTGTCAGGAAATATTTTCAAATATTCGTGGACAAATTTTTTGTGGTTTCGATGGTTTCAATGGTTTCAAGGGCTTCAATGGTTTAAAGGATGTGAAGGGTTTCAAGGGTTTCAATGGTTTCAAGGGTTTCAAGGGTTTCAATGGTTTCAAGGGTTTCAATGGTTTCAAGGGTTTCAAGGGTTTCAAGGGTTTCAATGGTTTCAAGGGTTTCAAGGGTTTCAATGGTTTCAATGGTTTCAATGGTTTCAAGGGTTTCAATGGTTTCAATGGTTTCAATGGTTTCAAGGGTTTCAATGGTTTCAATGGTTTCAAGGGTTTCAATGGTTTCAAAGGTTTCAATGGTTTCAATGGTTTCAAGGGTTTCAATGGTTTCAAGGGTTTCAAGGGTTTCAATGGTTTCAAGGGTTTCAATGGTTTCAAGGGTTTCAAGGGTTTCAATGGTTTCAAGGGTTTCAATGGTTTCAAGGGTTTCAATGGTTTCAATGGTTTCAACGGTTTCAAGGGTTTCAATGGTTTCAATGGTTTCAAAGGTTTCAATGGTTTCAAGGGTTTCAATGGTTTCAAGGGTTTTAAGGGTTTCAAGGGTTTCAATGGTTTCAAGGGTTTCAATGGTTTCAATGGTTTCAAGGGTTTCAATGGTTTCAAGGGTTTCAAAGGTTTCAATGGTTTCAATGGTTTCAATGATTTCAATGGTTTCAATGGTTTCAAGGGTTTCAATGGTTTCAAGGGTTTCAATGGTTTCAAGGGTTTCAAAGGTTTCAAGGGTTTCAATGGTTTCAAGGGTTTCAATGGTTTCAATGGTTTCAAGGGTTTCAATGGTTTCAAGGGTTTCAATGGTTTCAATGGTTTCAAGGGTTTCAAGGGTTTCAATGGTTTCAATGGTTTCAATGGTTTCAATGGTTTCAAGGGTTTCAATGGTTTCAAGGGTTTCAAGGGTTTCAAGGGTTTCAAGGGTTTCAAGGGTTTCAATGGTTTCAATGGTTTCAATGGTTTCAATGGTTTCAAGGGTTTCAATGGTTTCAAGGGTTTCAAGGGTTTCAATGGTTTCAAGGGTTTCAAAGGTTTCAATGGTTTCAAGGGTTTCAATGGTTTCAAGGGTTTCAAGGGTTTCAATGGTTTCAAAGGTTTCAATGGTTTCAAGGGTTTCAAGGGTTTCAAGGGTTTCAAAGGTTTCAAGGGTTTCAAGGGTTTCAATGGTTTCAATGGTTTCAAGGGTTTCAAGGGTTTCAATGGTTTCAAGGGTTTCAAGGGTTTCAAGGGTTTCAATGGTTTCAAGGGTTTCAAGGGTTTCAATGGTTTCAAGGGTTTCAATGGTTTCAAAGGTTTCAATGGTTTCAAGGGTTTCAAGGGTTTCAATGGTTTCAAGGGTTTCAAGGGTTTCAATGGTTTCAAGGGTTTCAATGGTTTCAAGGGTTTCAAGGGTTTCAAGGGTTTCAATGGTTTCAATGGTTTCAATGGTTTCAAGGGTTTCAATGGTTTCAAAGGTTTCAATGGTTTCAAGGGTTTCAATGGTTTCAATGGTTTCAATGGTTTCAATGGTTTCAATGGTTTCAAGGGTTTCAATGGTTTCAATGGTTTCAAGGGTTTCAAGGGTTTCAATGGTTTCAATGGTTTCAAGGGTTTCAATGGTTTCAATGGTTTCAATGGTTTCAATGGTTTCAAGGGTTTCAATGGTTTCAAGGGTTTCAATGGTTTCAATGGTTTCAAGGGTTTCAATGGTTTCAAGGGTTTCAAGGGTTTCAATGGTTTCAATGGTTTCAATGGTTTCAAGGGTTTCAATGGTTTCAATGGTTTCAATGGTTTCAAGGGTTTCAATGGTTTCAAGGGTTTCAATGGTTTCAATGGTTTCAATGGTTTCAATGGTTTCAATGGTTTCAATGGTTTCAAGGGTTTCAATGGTTTCAAGGGTTTCAATGGTTTCAAGGGTTTCAATGGTTTCAAGGGTTTCAAGGGTTTCAATGGTTTCAAGGGTTTCAATGGTTTCAAGGGTTTCAATGGTTTCAATGGTTTCAACGGTTTCAAGGGTTTCAATGGTTTCAATGGTTTCAAAGGTTTCAATGGTTTCAAGGGTTTCAATGGTTTCAAGGGTTTTAAGGGTTTCAAGGGTTTCAATGGTTTCAAGGGTTTCAATGGTTTCAATGGTTTCAAGGGTTTCAATGGTTTCAAGGGTTTCAAAGGTTTCAATGGTTTCAATGGTTTCAATG